TGCCTCTCCTCAGTAGACAGTTCATAAACATTTGTTGAACTGAGTTAAACTTAAATTCAGAAAATACTGTGTGTCACGGTGCAGTTAAACAAATATTTACCTTAAATGGGGGCCCCGTTGGGCATTGAGTGCATGGCGTGCTGGGCCGTCCCTCTCTTTTTGGCCCCTGCTGCCCTTCCCATCATCATCAACTCAGCCTCCACATGATGGGGAGGTTACTCCCTCCTGTCCCATCCCAGCCCCACTCAACTGGGAACCTGTGCTACTGACCCCACCTTGGCCTGGCATCTGTCCAACCTTCCAGCGGCCACTCCCCATAGCCCCTGCTCCCTTGTTCTCCAGAGCCGCGCCCCTGCTGCAGGTCTCCCCTTCGCTGTCCCCAAGCCCCTGCCTTCCACCCACACTGCCCACTCCTTCCCACCGTCCTCACCTCAGTCCTTAGGGAGTCCCCAAAAGCTCTTCTTGCCCCAGAACCTCCCATAACCCCTCAGTGCTCAGCAGCAGATCCTTGCTTTGACTGTTTATGGCACTGTCTGTTCCAACACATTTGTATGGAAGAGTATGCAGGTATTTTTAAATTAACTTTATTGAAGCTAATTTATATGCAATAAATGTCACCGATTGAAGGGTACAATTCAACAGGTCTTGACAAGGGCACACAGCCATGTGCCACCCCCACAATCAGGACAGAGGACATTTCTGCCCCCACAAAAGCCCCTTGTGCCGCCCAACCCCAGCCAATCCCTTCTTCCCGTCCTGATGACAATCCCTGATTTTATTCCTGCCACTGTTATTTTGCCTTTTCTAGAAATTTTAGGGATGGAATGATGCAGTGCGTGGTCTCTTCTGTCTGGATTTGTTACCAAGCGAAGGTTTTTAGTCACCCCCATTGGAGCATGCATTAGTCGCCCATTCCTTTTCATGGTTGAGTAGTATATTCTATTGTATGGATACACTTCAACTTGGTTATCTGCTCACCAGTTGACAGACATTTGGGTCTTTTTCAGTTTGGGACGGTTAAGAATAAACCTGCTGGGAATGTTCCAGTGTTAATCCTCCCATGTCTCTTGGGTAGACATGTAGGAGTCGGTTGCAGGTTCCTATGGTGGGTGCATGTTCGGCTGTGCAAGAAAGGACCCCACGGTCTCCTTGGAGTGGCTGTGTGATCTTGAGGTCCCACCAACAAAATGTGAGAGCCCCAGATGCACCATGTCCTCTCCCAGCTTCCTGCCCCCTGCTTAATCGCAGTCCTTCCAGTAGGTGTGAAATGGGATCTCTCTGTCTCTCTCTGTGTGTGTGTGTGTGTGTGTGTGTGTGTGTGTGTGTGTGTGTATGTGTTTCAGACGGAGTCTCTCTCTGTCACCCAGGCTGGACTGCAGTGGCGTGATCTCAGCTCACTGCAACCTCTGCCTCCTGGGTTCAAGTGATTCTCCTGCCTCAGTCTCCTGAGTAGCTGGGATTACAGGTGCATGCCATCACACCTGGCTAATTTTTGTATTTTTAGTAAAGATGGGGTTTCACCATGTTGGCCAGACTGGTCTCGAACTCCTGGACTTAAGTGGTCCGTCTACCTCGGCCTCCCAAATTGCTGGGATTACAGGCCTGAGCCACTGCGCCCAGCCTTCATTGTGGTTTTAATTTGCATTTTCCTTATGATTAATGGCATTGAGCATCTTTTTTGTGTGTATATTTTTTGTGTGTGTCCATGTGTTTTCTTTGGTGAATTGCCTGTTCACATTTCCCCCTGTTTCTTATTGACTTGTTTATGTTTTTGATAGGGAGTTGTAAAAATTATTTGTATATTCTGGATATAACCTATTATCAGATATAAGCTTTAAAATACTTTTTTGTATTCAATATATATATTTTTCATTTTCTTGAGTGCCTTTCAAAGAGCAGAAAGTTTACATTTTGTACAATCAAGTACAATTTATCAATGTTTTTACAGTTTATTCTTTTTGCAATTTATATAAGAAATTTCTTTTTCCAGGGTCACAAAGATTTTCTCCCGCTTTTCCTTCTAGATATTTTATGCTTTAGCGCTCACATTTAGATTTATAACTCATTTGAGTTATCTTTTGTAAATGGTGTGAGGTAAGCAGTAAGGATCAACTTTTTGTTTATGTCATTCCAGGACCAGTTATTGAAGACTGTTCTTTTCCCATGGAGTTACCTTGGCACCTAAGTTAAAAATCAGTCTGCCACCTATATGTGGGTCTATATCTGGACTCTGTTCTGTTCCACCAATTTAGGAATCTGTCCTTTCAGAAATCCAACACTGTCACACTTAGTGTAGCTTCCTTGTCAGCTTTGAGATTGGGTAGTGTGAGTCATCCAATTTTTTTTATCTTTTTCAAAATTGTTTTCACTATTTTAATTTCCTTGAATTCCTATATAAATTTTGGAATTGGCTTGTCAATTTCTCAAAAAAAAAAACCCTACCATAATTTTGATTTAGTTTATGTTGTATCTACAGATCGATTTGGGGGAGAAATGGTATTTTGAAATTGAATCATTGATAAATTTGAACATGAAATGAGTCATTGAAAATTGAACATGATAAATTTCTCCATTAATTTAGGTCTTATTCAATTTCTCCCAACAATGTTTTGTAGTTTTTAGCATATAAATCTCACATACATTTTGTTAGATCTATCCATAACTATTTTACATTTTATGATACAATCATATATGTAATTGTTGATACTATTATGTACATTATATATGATATATGTGTGTATATATAGTTTTAACATCCAAATGCTAATTCCAATTGGTGTATTTTATTTTGCATATTGTATATTTCACCTCCCATACCCTCCACCCCTGCCATGCTCTGCAGCTTAGAAAGAGCGTGTATCATTTCTCACTGTATTTGTTTTCCTCCTGCCAGGAGCCATAATCTCGTGATGCCTAGTGCCAAGGTCTGAAAATTGTTGTTACGTTTTGCAGGTTTTTCTGGTTGTTTAATGCAGCAGGGTGCCTTTGGTCTCTGTTAATCCACTGTGGCTGGAAGCTGAAGTTTAGCAGTGGTGTTCTGATTGCTGTGCTTCTTCGGATTGATATCATTACCTCTTCACGTGCTTTTGCAACACAGGGGTCTATATTATGCTTCTTCTGCACACTCTAAAGCACTCAACTGTATACCTGCTGGGATTACAAAAGTGCAGAGGTGACTCCATGCCTTCCTCCGGCTTTTTAGGTCCAAAGCAGTGACTGAGGGGCAGTGAAGAATTGATCTCCGAGTTGTGACTCCAGGCATCAGGGAAGGAATGGGGTGGAGTAAACAATGAAATGAGAATCAAAATTATGGAAGAAATAGGTTTGGAAAATAATTTAGGGTGAACTTTGTGTTACGTGGGCTTCCTCTCCAAAAGGTCAGTATCCATGTGGACTCGTAAGTGAGGACTGATATGGCACAGTGTGGGGGGCGAGGAGGGGAGTTCTACCTTCTCTGCCTGTGCACCTTGGGCTGCGCTTCCCTAGCTGCTCCCACTTGGCATGGGCAGGCCCACGTGGTGCAAGAGCAGGGAAAAGAGGAGGAAGATGGGCAATTGGCTGGGAAGCACATCCAACATTAATATCAGAGCATTTCAGGCCATGGATGTTACTGGGGGGCGTCCAGGAGGTGTTAATAAACAGGACGATGGACAATGCTGGAAAGGAGGAGTGAGCCTGAGAATAGCGAAGAGTTTTTCTTTTTTTTAAAGTTTGCTTCAAATGGTGGATTTCAAAGCCCTTCGTCCTCAGGCCTTCCACAACTGCTCCAGCTCTTCCTGGTCTCCTGCTAAACTTCTTCAGCCTGGACCCACGCACGGCCACTGCTGGCATTGCCGGCATGTGGCATACTCCATACGGACCCACGCACGGCCACTGCTGGCATTGCTGGCACGTGGCATACTCCATATGGACCCATGCACGGCCACTGCTGGTATTGCCGGCACGTGGCATACTCCATATGGACCCACACACGGCCACTGCTGGCATTGCCGGCACGTGGCATACTCCATATGGACCCATGCACCGCCACTGTTGGCGTTCCCAGCACATCGTATACTCCATTGTTTCCTAACAATCCAGTTGATTCGGCCAGGCTAGTTGCTCAGCTGTTTCACAAACATAAAGGGCTCATGACTCAGGACTGCTCTTCGGTCTGAGATGAGCTGGTCACCTGAAGGAGATGGCCCTTCTCTGTCAATCACTGGCCCACAGCCTCCCCATTCTCCAAGGACCCTGATTGGAGCCTCCTCCTCCAGGAAGCCTTTCCTAACTGTGCCAGCCTCTACCTTTCCTCTGGCACTTGGATTTCTGATGATTAGGGTGCCTCTGCCACAGCGGATTCATGCTTGTGACCTGGAATGTCTACTGGAAAGGTCTGCGGCTGTGGAGAAGCAGGTGCATTTCTCTCCAGCGCCTTCCCAGGCTGGAGCAGCTTGTTCAGTGTGTCTTGAGAACGGCACTCATAGTCAAACTTTAAATTCTACTGGAGATTCTCGCATGCCCATAGGGGTGAACATCACTGACGTATATTGTGAACGATTGAAAGCCCAGGACTATGAATTATACATTTTCTATGCACATTCACACTTCTATTTGTTGAATGTTTTTAAATTTTGCATTAAGATTTTTGTGTAGATCAAACTTGTGGATTTCTGAGAGCACCTTATTTAAACTATAGATAAAGGGTTGGCAAATTATAGCTTCTAGCCAGCCGAGCCCGGTGAGGCCTGTTCAGTTATGTAATTGTAGATGCTTTCAAGCTCCAAAGGCAGATTTGAGGAGCTGTGACTGAGACCATATGGCCTGCAAAGCCTGAAATATGCACTCTCTGGCCCTTTACAGAAAGAGGTTGCTGATGCTTATTCTCAATAAATATTTGTATGTAAAATAGTGTGCTGTGCACTCTGTTCACACGAGATGGAATGCTGGTCACGTAAGTGTCTGGCTTTCCAGGGATACCTGTGTTAACTGTAGTGCCTTCTGCCTTCTTTCCTTCCTAGAGTCACTTCCACTTTCCTGCTACCACTGCCTGTGAGCTGAAGGGGCTGCACCATACCCTCCTTTTTCTACATCCAGCCTGCATGTTTTTGCCCACAATGAGCGGGGTAAGATTTTAATTTTTGGCAAGGAGTATAATTTGGGTTCATTGTGGCTGCTTGAACATTGCACTGCCGCTAACTCTGTCTTTGTTTCCTTTCCAGGAATCAATGAATTTCAGCGATGTTTTCGACTCCAGTGAAGATTATTTTGCGTCAGTCAATACTTCCTATTACACAGTTGATTCTGAAATGTTACTGTGCACCTTGCACGAGGTCAGGCAGTTCTCCAGGCTGTTTGTACCGATCGCCTACTCCTTGATCTGTGTCTTTGGCCTCCTGGGGAATATTCTGGTGGTGATCACTTTTGCTTTTTATAAGAAGGCCAGGTCTATGACAGACGTCTATCTCCTGAACATGGCCATTGCAGACATCCTCTTTGTTCTTACTCTCCCATTCTGGGCAGTGAGTCACGCCACCGGTGCGTGGGTTTTCAGCAATGCCATGTGCAAGTTGATGAAAGGCATCTATGCCATCAACTTTAACTGCGGGATGCTGCTCCTGACTTGCATTAGCATGGACCGGTACATCGCCATCGTACAGGCAACGAAGTCGTTCCGGCTCCGATACAGAACGCTGCTGCGCAGCAAAGTCATCTGCCTTATTGTGTGGGGAGTGTCAGTCGTCATCTCCAGCTCAACTTTTATCTTCAACCAGAAATACAACATCCAAGGCAGCGATGTCTGTGAGCCCAAGTACCAGACCGTCTCGGAGCCCATCAAGTGGAAGCTGCTGATGTTGGGGCTTGAGCTACTCTTTGGTTTCTTTATCCCTTTGATGTTCATGATATTTTGTTACATGTTCATTGTCAAAACCTTGGTGCAAGCTCAGAATTCTAAAAGGCACAAAGCCATCCGTGTAATCATAGCCGTGGTGCTTGTGTTTCTGGCTTGTCAGATTCCTCACAACATGGTCCTGCTTGTGACAGCTGCAAATTTGGGTAACATGAACCGATCCTGCCACAGCGAAAAGCTACTTGGCTATACGAAAACTGTCACAGAAGTCCTAGCTTTCCTGCACTGCTGCCTGAACCCTGTGCTCTATGCTTTTATTGGGCAGAAGTTCAGAAACTACTTTCTGAAGATCATGAAGGACCTGTGGTGTGTGAGAAGGAAGTACAAGTCCTCGGGCTTCTCCTGTGCGGGGAGGTACTCAGAAAACATTTCCCGGCAGACCAGTGAGACCGCAGATAACGACAATGCGTCGTCCTTCACTATGTGATGGGAAGCTGAGTCTCCCTAAGGCATGTGTGAAACATACTCATAGATGTTATGCAAAAAAAAGTCTATGGCCAAATATGCATGGAAAATGTGGAATTAAGCAAAATCAAGCAAGCGTCTCTCTTGCAGAACTTAATGTGCTCATGGGCTGTGTGATCTCTTCAGGGTGGGGTGGTCTCTGATAGGCAGCAGCTTCCAGCACACTTTACAAGGAATGTTTTGTAGCTCTGGGGTATATATCTGCCCGGGCGTTTCACAAAACGGCCTTTGGGAAATGCTGAATTAAAGTGAATTGTTGACAAATGTAAACATTTTCAGAAATACTCAAGAAGCGGTCACAGATCACAGTGTCTTTTGGTTACAACACAAAATGATGGCATGGTTTGAAAAACTAAAACAGAAAAAAACAAACGGAAGCCCGCACATCGCTCGTTTTAGGCAAATGTTTAAACGTTTTATCTATCAGACTGTTTATTGTTGCTGGTTATAAGCGGCAGGATTGGCCGGCTGGTGTTTTCTCATTTCCCTTTGATACGGGCAACAATCTGACCTTGTAAAATGGAGGCGGAAAGACAAGCTCAAGTGTTGACAACCTGGAAGCGCTTTGGGAAGATGGGGACAATGGCAGAACAAGTGTTGGTGACAATTGTCACCAACTGGATAAAGCAGCTCAGGTTGTAGTGGGCCATTAGGGAAGTGTCAGTTTGCTTTTATTTCCCTGGGAGCTGTTCTCTGTCATGAGTGACTCTTTTCTCAATGTCTGTTAGGCTGAGAGTGCTACGAAGACAGGAGCTAGAATCATCTTGCTCACGGCTGTCCTCTGAGTGCCTAAAGGAGTTCCAGCAAACAAAATGGACTCAACAGAGATTTGATTAATGTATTGTAATGAAATTGGGATTTATTGTACAGTTTAAAATGTTAGATGTTTTTAATTTTTTAAATAAATAGAATACTTTTTTTTTTTTTAAAGAAAGCAACTGTACTGAGACAATGTAGAAAGAAGTTTTGTTCCATTTCTTTAATGTGGTTGAAGAGTAATGTGTGGCTGAAGACTTTTGTTATAAGGAGCTGCAGATTAGCCAGGGGACAGCTGGAATTATGCTGGCTTCTGATAATGATTTTAAAGGGGTCTGAAGTTTGTGATGGAATCAGATTTTAACAACTCTCTTCAACGACATAGAAAATTCATGGAACTCATGTTTTTAAAGGGCTATGTAAATATATGAACATTAGAAAAATATCAACTTGTGTTACAAAAATACAAACACGTGTTAGGAAGGTACTGTCATGGGCTAGGCACAGTGGTTCATGCCTGTAATCCCGGCATTTTGGGAAGCTAAGACAGGCAGCTCACTTGAGGTCAGGAGTTCAAGACCAGCCTGGCCAACATGATGAAATCCCCTCTCTACTACAAATACAAAAATTTGCCAAGTGTGGTGGTGGGTGCCTATAATCCCAGCTACTTGAGAGGCTGAGGCAGGAGAATTGCTTGAACCCAGGAGGCAGAGGTTGCAGTGAGCTGAGATCGTGCCATTGTCCTCCAGCCTGGGTGACAGAGCGAGGTTCCGTCTCAAAAAAAAAGGGAAAATAAATACTGTCATGAATTACAAAAATACCGACATGTTTAAACCTGACAATGATGTTATTTGAAACTTTATATTGTTCTCATAAGCTTTAACTATATCTCTCTTTAAAATGCAAAATGATGTCTTAAGATTCAAAGTCTGTATTTTTAAAGCATGGTTTTGGCTTTGCAAAATAAAAAATGCGTTCTGTACATGAAGTAGGAATCTTCTTTCAGCTTCAAGGTTCAGAGTGAGGGGCCCACTGTCCGGAGACAGTGGTATTCAGGCTTTTTCATGTCCTTCAAATCTGTTAGTGTTTGACTCTAGAAAGCAAAGCAGAGGAGTTGTTACCCAGACGCTTCTTTCGGTGTGATCAATGCACTGATGTGATCTAAGAAGATGATTCATGCTTGAAAACTGGCACAGAAACATCTTGCTTATTTGCCAAAACTGGGAAATGACCTTCTCTGCATAATTTAAATGTTCAGATAAATGAAACTGACTTCTTTAAGAATAACTTTTTAAACATTTTAGCTATGATGTATAAAAATGTTTCTAAAATATACCACATACTGTATTTCTTCTTAAATATAGTACATTAGGTAACATCATTTTTCTTGCTGTCTTGGGCATCAGAACAGGTGCCATGGTAACTTGACACTCTTAGGAGACATTAAGATAGAAGGGGCTGTTCTTCAGTGGTTCCCATTGATTCTCCCCATATCGTTTCGCTTTCAGGCTCTGACCGTCTCTTCCTGAACCTTAACTGTCTGCCCTTAGTCCTCCTCTCCACTCATTGCAAACATTATTCTATATGTTTGGTGGGGAATTTAGCTCTCTGCGCTTGTCAGAATTGTCTGTTAATAGTGGCAATGTGTTAGAACCTCCCAGTATTCAATTATTTCCAGATACGTGAGATCTTACTATATGTAAATCTCAACATTTAGGTTCTTAAGTATTACCTTGCAAATTGTACATGATTTGCTTCTAAGGACAGACAGACTGGATTTTAAATGGGGCCAGGAAAACACAGTATTTTCAAATCCTTTTAAGACTTGTAATGTGTGCAAATGACAGGCATTCTGGAGATATATGTACAGAGAATGTGGTCTCCATGAATGTAGTATATATGCTAAAGTACGCTAGAACATTGGTTTGCTGGGGCTGCCCTGACAAAATACCACAGACTGAGTGGCTTGAACAGCACATTTATGTCTCACATTTTTAGAGGCTGGTTAAGGTGTTGGCAGGGTTGGTTTCTCCTGAGGCCTCAAATGGCTTTTCCTCTGTGAGCTGAAACTTCTTATAAGGACACTAGTCAGATTGGATTATAGCCCACCCAAAAGGCCCTTTTCAACTTAATCACTGGTCTAAAATGCTTGTCTGTAAATATCATCACTTTCTGAGATACCGAGGGTTAGGACTTTGACATATGAATTTTAACGGGACACCATTTGGCCCCTAACATCTATTTCCCTGAAGGTAGGGCATATTTTCCTATTAAAGTTAACCTAGACACGTGAGAATTTCTTTGTACATAGTTTCCTCCTTTCCAATAAGTTATGTTCCAAACATTCATTCCCATTTCGGCTTTTCAGGTGCAGATCTCACAGAGAGAAAGCAGAGAAGGGCTGTGGTCCCTGGTGAGACAACACCTGCCTTTCTAACCTGCACAGCCTTGAGCTCCAGCACCCACTCATGCACAGCCTTGAGCTCCAGCACCCACCCGTGCACAGCCTTGAGCTCCAGCACCCACCCGTGCACAGCCTTGAGCTCCAGCACCCACCCGTGCACAGCCTTGAGCTCCAGCACCCACCCGTGCACAGCCTTGAGCTCCAGCACCCATCCGTGCACAGCCTTGAGCTCCAGCACCCACCCATGGTGCAAGTTTCAGTATCTGATCCCAGTGGTTCACCTCCTGCCTTGGTCCCTGCCCTGAGGGGTAGCATCTCCTCCCCTCCCAGTTCTCTGGCAGGGAAGTGGGGAATTTCCCCAAGTCTGAGTGGCCTCCATATTCAAAGCAGAGACATCCCCCTCTCAAGGACCTGAGGATGGTGATCTCAGCTGTGACAGCAGAAAGCAGCTGTGATAGTCCAGGGGGGGGGCAGGCCCCGTTGTGCCCCCTATTTGTATAAACAGAGCATTCAAGACTCATGACTTCAGGGGGACTCTCTCTTGTCTTAATCTCATTCTTGGGGCACATTCTTCTGTAGGACACAGAAGGAGGTGGCATTTTACATTTACCATTAGACGATTTGAGTCATTGCAGCCTCACAGAGCACAGCTGCCCTAATGCATTCTACATTCTGCTGGCTGCTCTGTGGAGAACCCGACGTATTCATGGTCTTTGTGCTCAGGGATTTCACGGAATAAAGAGGCTGCAGCATTCGGATGAAGGCCACCCTCGCTCTGGCGTGTTTGCAGAGCTTGGGGTGGTCTGCATGCTACATTCTGCTGGCTGCTCTGAGAACCTGACGCACTCACAATCTTGTGATTTCACAGAATAAAGAGGCTGCAGCATTTGGACGCAGGCCCCTCACTCTGGTGTGTTTGTGGAGCTCAGGGTGGTCTGTTGTGACCTGATTTCATGCTTACGACTCAATATGCACAGCTGCAATCTTCTTCCTTGCACTGCATTTGCCAATAGATGATATTCCTGATGCCTTATTTTAGTAAATTCATATAAGAGCGAAGGCAGGAATGATGATGATATTCCTGTGCCTTATTTAGGTAAATCCATATAAGAGAGAAGGCAGGAATGATTTATATTTTCTACTTCTTGGCTGATTCCTCTCTCGAGTCCAGGTGGACAGCCGGGGATGATGGGCAGAGTACTGTTCTCCTTACCTCAAGGCTGTCCTCAGCCCAAGGGAGCTGCGGTACCTCCTTCCAGCCCATTTCCATTCTAGACAACAAGAAGCAGGATGGGGGAAGCAGGTGGCCTTAAAGACACAACTGGAGAGCTGTGGAAGTCATTTCTGCTCCCAGCGTGGGAGCCTTCACTTAGTCACATGGTTACACCCAGGTGAAAGAAAGTCTGGGACGCTCGTCATGTGTCCACGTGCACTCGGTAATCACAAACACACCATGTATGAAGGGCGAGAGATGCTGAGAAAAGCAGTTTCATGGAGGGGAGGCAGCCGGACTCCTCTCTTTAACCAGAGGGGAGGGCCTGCCTCTCCACAGCGGTAGATGAGTGGTAGCCGAGGCAGCCTACGAGGCCAAGGCCGTTCAGGAGTTATGGCTGGCGCTGTGCAGCGAGGCTGGGGTCACCTGGGATGCGCCTTGTACACAGGAGCCTTTTCTCCTGTAGCCCACTAATAATTGCCACGGTGCCCGCGGCCGGGCCATCTAAATGTTCAGAACACTGTATTTAGAATTAGTGTTAACATTTGAAGAAGGTTTCATTTTCCTGCCTAACATTGAAAGAACTGGATTCTTGGATTTCACATGACATTTTGGGTCCCCTTTTCTGAACCTGGAATGTAAACAGATGAGCTCGCACTTCACGCCAGTGGGGAGCAAATGTGATTCCTAAAGTTCTGGCTTTACCAGGAGCCGAGCTCCTGAGCCGGCCGAGAGTGCCCCTGCCCTGGACGGGGTGCTGCTGCCCTCTGGTGCACGAGCCGCCTCCCAGTGCCTGCACCTTTTCCTGGAGTCTCTCACCTTCCTTAGTGGGGAAACTCTACAGTTTATTTTGGATAACAAGTATGTGAAATTAATAGAATCTTATACTAACTTTTT